TTTTGACTAGGGGTGAAAATCTGAGTTTCATCATCGCTAGGAACCGAATCGTGACACAAGTCAAGAATCCCTTGTGTTAGAGAAATTGCTGGATTATCTTCAAACAAAGTAAATTACTATTTATTTTGGCTGCGACCTGGACCATAGTTTGGGGAACCCTGCATTAAAAGACTGCTGGAACCTCAAACGACCTCCTTCAACAGGAGTCCCTTCTGTAATGCATTCTAAGTATGAAGGTGAACTCATTAGGAGGATAATGGCTGGATATGTTACATATTGAATGGATTTAAAGGACAAATTCTAACAATATTAACAGTGATTTTTGCCTTTCCTTGGGCATTATAAGTGGCTTATATTTACATATATATATATAAGCATATACATCTTTTGAGGAGTATGTTGACATAAGTGACATGAATGCAACAAAATGTAATACTGTACATATTGTTTTGTTATTTGTTTCGGAATCATTATGTAAATATTATCTCCCTCAGCTGTTTATGAGATATATGTTTTTATAATGCTTACAAGTATTTATTTATTTATGTATCGTCTAAGAGAAGTTACAGTCACATTTTTTCCCTCTAAATCCACACCACCTTTCTGTTATAACTATATTCCCTTTTTATTTCTATTGTTATTTCATTCTGTGTTTATAGTATCTTTCTAATGTTTACATGGCTCTGTGTCAAATCTGAGGAAGTAATTAGCTGGTTTAAGTGTGTGCTAATTAATGTGCTTCATTAATTACCTCAATTAGCGCTGTGTTTATGAACGCAGCGCTGCAGTCGCCTTCATTCACAACTGAACGCATGTTTTAGAAAGTGCATCAGCAACGTCAGGCCTGTGTGCGTGTGTTTGTGCGTGCGCGTGCACTCCTTCGCTGTATTCCTCATCTGGAAAATCATCCCATGTCCTTCCTTCACCTTTCCCATATCTGTCCCTGTGATTGCTTGATTTGTAACTTGATTTCAGGACAGGGGAAAACCTGTAGATTATCCAGCTTTCATTAGGTGGAAAAACCCAGGTCCGTGTCAGAGAGAGAAGAAATCAATTTAATACAGACTTAACAGGAGGAAATTGTATATTCTGCCTTTTTGTGCTGAACAGGCATTTTCTCCTCCTCACCAGAGACTTGCCTCCCTATTAATTGCGTTATGTGTCCATGTCAGTGGGCTAATAGATGTGTATGTGCGTTTGTTTGTGTGTGCGATGTTTGGGGACTGTGTACAGGGGTCTTATCCTGTCAGCATATGGAGGTCAGTGCTCAGATATGTGGTAGGGCACTCAGCCAGATGTGTCTGTTTCTTTATTTTGTGTGCATACTTTCACTGCATGTGGTGCCTATACCCATATTTCTTTGTTGTTGTATGGCACATGAATATTCAACCAGGCATGTGACTCCACCAGGTGGAATAGAGATTGGTTGGTTATTATGAGAAAAAAAAATACAACTTTATAATTGTGTAAGGATGATATATGACTAGAAAATTCATTCCCTCCTCTGCCCCCCCCCCCTTTTTTCCACTGCTTTCTCACTAAACATACATTATTAAATGCATTCTTAAAAGCTGATGACCAACAGCGGTGCGTTGTGGACAAGGTCGTGGAGATCCAGGTTCCTCTCTGTGTTCCTCCCTTCCAGGCCTGTTCTGATCTAAAGAGCGAGAAGCGGGACTGAAAGTCATTTCTCTAATTGCTTTTATAAGGTGCCCTTTTCACATGGTGTCTTCCTCGCTCATTCACTTTCACCACCGTTGCGGCATCTAGCCTTTGCACCTGCAGGTGGAAGTGTAGCGGTAGGTTTGTAGCCGTTGTGTGTAAATCATGGACTACATACTATATAACATAATTTCCAGACTATAAGTCGCTTTGGAGTATAAGTTGCAAACCCAGCCAAAGGATAGAAAAGAAGTGCGATTTATAGTCTGGAAAACGCTGTAAGTGTTTCATATACATTACATGGTGAGGCATTTGATTTCCTAAGTGTTGACCCAGTATTTGTCATCTGTAAGGAGCGTTGTGCCAAAGTGGGGTCAGAGAAGATGAAAACAGGGGTTAAAGAGTGAGAGGCGGAACACTGAGAGGATAAGGAAGATGGGGATGAGATTAAACCTAGTGCATCAAGACAGTGTATCATATAGCAGTTCCACTTGCAGGCATCCATCAGTGTTGGCTGCTCTACTACAGTATGTGCAAAAATGCCTACGTGAGTGTTTTAACAGTTAGGAGGATCGCCCAGTACTTATTGAACAGAAAGGGACTCCCTTCTTTAATACCTTGTTACTTTATTGAATTGGAAAAGCCCTGGTTATAATTACATTAGAGTTCTCCTTCTCTCCTCTGCTCTGTTTTCGCCCAGCACATGTGGGTAAAGGACAAAGACACAAGTGTAGAAGTATTTATGTCCGGAACATGTGGTAAAAACAAATAAATAATTTTGGTACTACAAGTAAATCATTTCAAAGAACTCCCTATTAGAAGTATTTTTGTATTTTAGTTATACTTTTGAGTAAACGCAAAATGTAAGTTTAAAATGTTATATATAGTTTTATTTGCACTGTAAAGTCGTTATATTTGCATCTGCTCCTTTATTCTCTCTCTCACGCTCCTTTTTCTCCCCTCTTGTCTTTGTCTCGCATGCACACACGCACGTTGCACACACACACACACACACACACACACACACACACACACACACAGTGCATACAGTATCATCTGAAACATGATAACAAAGGGACCAACAAATTGATATATTTTCTGGTTACACTTCAACAGGAAACATATCCACGACTTATTCAGTGTTTTTGCAGGGGCCGACTTCTTATTCAGTGTCTTTGTGAAAAGATCTCAGAATGTTAATATCACGTCCGAGTGGGTCTGTTCTACAGGGGCCGACTTCTTTTCCCCCCACCTCCTTCTTAGCTTTCTCTGGGTGAAAGTTGTAAAGGTCATTGTCATGTTACAGACAGCTGTTCTCTTGGGCTGAGGGGCTGGAAGTGGGGCATGAATGTGAGAGGTGGTGGCAGAAGTGGCGAGCTGAGGGATTTGATGCCCGGGTTATCATTATGATGACCTTGCAGTTTTCTTTCTTAAAGATGCAGCTCTGTGGAATGCACTCTTGTAACCACATATGTAATTCAGAATCTAGTTTTAAAGCTTGCTTATGAGTCTGTTTCATTCATAATTAGCTTTTTACTTTCGGATTGTGCAATAGGTTGTGTGTAGCTGGGGGGCTGTGAGCTCCGTCACCCTAAGCTGTGCTCGGTGGTGTTGCACACTCAGCAATTACTCAAGAGTTAACCAGAAAGGCTTTGCTGCTTCTCACTTTTCCTTTGCCCTTGAAGAGACAAGGAGTTGTCAGGGTCCTCATAAAAACCCTGAACGATTGCGTCCGTGCCTTTTCTCTTTCCTTTTCTATCCGTTTTTTCACTCTTCCCCTTCCAAAACCTGGCCATCTGTCTAATTGTTCACCTCCATCGCTTTAATGCTTTTTACACGCTTCCCCCCCTCTTTCCAGGCAATAAACTTTATTTTCTTCGCAAGACTTCAAACTGCAGGGGGAGGGTAGGCGGACAGGCAGGCAGGCTGCTCACCTTCTCCCTGCTGGATTTGCTCCAGTGCCTCCCCTCAGCTCCCCTCTATCCTCACCGTGGTCTCCCGTTACTCCATCTCTGCTTCCCTCCCTCTGCCGTCTGCAGAGAGGGAATACACGTTCGTCAAATCGACACCTGGTCTCATCTTCTCGACTCCTCCTAACGAACACAGAGGGTTACTCTGTTGAGAAAGCCTCCGGCTGACCTTTTAATGATAGCACTGCTGACCTTGCATTGGAGCCGTGCTTCATTTCCGTCACTGTGTAACTTACACTGTACATTTTACTGGAAGAACCGGAAGGACATCATTTACACTTTAGTTTTGTACATTTTTTAAATAGAAAAACAGTTTAATTGAATCTGCCTTAGTTTATGTCTATGTACTGTAACATGACCAGATGAGTGTTAATGCATATTGCTCATACAAGTCATTACATGAGACGGTTGCTTTTACTCACCTGTGATTACTGCTTCATGCAGGTCAGGTACCCTGTAATCATATCTATAATCAACCTGTTAATGGTTTATAATAACAACCATATAATGCTATAGAGCACCAAAAGAATAATTCAGGCATAGATAATGGGGTAATAGTATAGTTTTATCCTTGAGTTACAGCTCTGAATTTGCTGGATGTTGGTTGGATGTTTATGCAGCTGTGTGTATGAATGTGTAAACACCCACAGGTACAGTTAAGGTGTCAGTAAAATGCCTGAGGAGTCACATTTCTATCAGAAGGTGCTCTTAACCCTTTATTGTTTACTTAGTGCTCTCTGTATCATGGAGCTCCTCGACTGCAAGTGCGAAGATTTGTGAAGACACGCAAAGAAAAGACATTCTGGTTTGACACCCACAAACTGTAGCTCAGATCAGTGGAAAAGGCTGACAGGGGAATAGCAGCAGCAGCAGCAGCGGCAGCAGCAGCAACGGCAGAAGTAGTAGTTGTGGAGGAGCCTTGGTGATGATGGCTGATAGTTGAACGTTGAATTCTTTTCTGGGGGTTTATGTGAGCTGACAGTGTTCCTCAGGGGATGGTGGGCGGAGCACAGGGGAGTGGTAGCAGCAGAAATACCTGTGTCACTGGAGCAGGAACTTAGCTGGAAAAACCTCTGAAATATATCACTCTGTGTCCTCCTCTAGCATAGGTGATCGGTCTAACGTACTCATCACTCTCTGTACATGGATGGAAACAGTCAACAAAGTCCTGGATGGCTTACATCTCCAGAAAATATTGAGACCATTTTAATAAGCACAATTGCTTGTACACAACGTAGTTTTATTCCTGTGATTAAAAAAGAAAATCCTGAAATCACACATTTGCCATTTGCAGATGTAGATCCTTGAAGTTATATGAATACAAGTTACTCATGTACGGCCATACTTTTGTGTTTTCTTTCCTGACAGCACAAAGCAAGAGTGGAAGCTATGGTGTGTGACCTGGCCTCCCTCAGAAGTGTCAGGGAGTTTGCTGAATCCTTCAAGGCCAAGAAACTGTAAGTAAGAACAACATGTCAAACATTTAAACTGAATGTTTTAACTAGCGCTGAGCGATGACATTTTTTAAATTGTGATTAATTGCTTGATTATTCTGGAATTTTAATGTATTATTATTATTATTATTATTATTGCTTTATGTTTGAAATGAAATTCATTTAAAAAAATCAAATAAAATATAAAAACTAAGCCAGGGCAATCTTCGTTTATCAAGTTTGTAACAGAAAAGCACATATTTATCGACAGCAGTTTTTTTGGATGGTTAGTCAGTTCTTATGTGTACGTGCTGGTAAAAAGATGGGCAGTCTGTGATGAAATTTGGTGTCATGATCTCAGCCCTACAATGGGAAAAGTCACAGACAACAAAATGATAGTATTGTTTTTTCCGGACTATAAGTCACAGTTGTTTTTTCATCCTTTGGCTGGGTTTGCGACTTATACTGAGGTGCGACTTGTATATTAAAATATATATTTTTACAATAGTACTGTTTAAAAAGATAACTTGCTTTACTGAGGTCTTGAATTGGCCCAACAGTGAGAGGATTATTCTTCTAATCTGGGGTTTAAATTCTGCCCTGGCTGTACCGGATTGAGGAAGCACCCAGAATTCTCTTGCTGCCCCCTAGGGATGGGTTTAATGCAGAGGGCACATTTCGTTGTGTGCGTTTAAATAGAACTGAAATAACAAGCAGACTGCCAAATATTTTAAGAACATGTCAAAGTCAGCAGTGAGGGAACAAATTCAAGGCTGTTATGACAATCGTTTTCTTCTCTTCTCTCCCCCTCTCTTTCTCTCTCTCTCTCCCTGAATTGAAACTAAAATATTTCCAGAATTAAACTTTAAAAAATAATCTTTTTTGTACAGCTCTTGTTCTAACTTGTCTATGTCCACGTCTCATCTCTTAACAGCAGTCTCTCATAGATGAAGACACTTTGAACACTTTGCTCTATGTTAAAAACTCATTTTTAAAACAGTACTGCAGGAACTAAATAGTTTTGAAATTTAATAGGTTGTCAGACATATAAAAAAAAAAAGCAATGTTTTAGATCAGTGGTTCTTCTTCCTTCAGGCTCACAGACCATTTTAACCTATATTCCAAATGTTGACTAGTTAGACACCATATGGACATGGTCCCAGGAGTGTGTATGTGTTTGCATTTTTGTGTTATTTCTTGACATTGAGAAACAAACCAGCAGACTTTATGGCACTTATTTTGTGGTGGTCAGCTTTAACAGCATTTGTCTTGGACTTTGTGACCGGTCCAGCAGTTGCTATTTTGGGGGTCATTTAATCTGTAATCCATACTGATACGGGGGAGGGGAGAAAGTGTTATTAGGCGGACCCTGAGGGAGAGGCAGGGCAATCATCGCTCGCAGCACCCCTCAGGCAGGGTATGGCCATTCAGAACCCCTGTCTTGGGTCACAGCCAATCCTCATGCTGGCTTCAACTCTCACTTTTCCTGTAGTTCCCTCAATTCTCAAACATATGTCTCCACAATGCACAACCAAATACTGCATTTTCACCTCTTTTACCTTTTGACCCAGAATCAATCCTTTTTCTTCTTCTTCTTACAGCTTTGAGATGTATCCTGTTTATCAACCTCAGTTTGTCTGCCGCCTCTTTCTCCCTCCCTTATGATGTCTCTCATTCTCTGTCTGTGTCTTTCCTTCTCCACCTCAGTATTTTGGAAAGGTTGTATTTCTTCATTAGCTGTGCTGTTAGGGCGGAGTGGGGGAGTCCCAGGGGATGTCAGAGTACATTAATTCTCATCAGAAGGCGAACAGAGCAGGTGGAGGCTGGGAGCTCTGAGCTGTGAATGGCACTGGGCAGCTGTCTGACTCTACCACCACTCTATTACCACACTTATGTCTTTAGGCATAATGCAACCAGGAATGGGCACACGGGCGACTCGCACACATATGTGTTCACATGCATGGACACGCACAGACAATTGTGTTCATAGAGCATAAAAAAAAATTAAGCTTTGTAAACACAGAGGCGGGCAGACAGACAAACGCACAAAACTGCAAAGACAAAAAAATAAAATTAATTCCCCCTTTTCTCATTTCTTCTTATGGCTACGCTCTTGAGTGCTTCAGTCAGTGGCTTTCATGCAGCTCTCTGTTCCATTGACCTTATTAATTGCCTTTCCTTTAAAATGAAATTACCTGGATATTGATATCATTGAATGAAGTGCACTTTTATTGAGAGGTAATTGATGTAAGGCCTTCCTGACAGAGTGTTCTTAATACAGTTCTAGTGAATGATCCATAATTAACACATGCAATTTGTTCTCACCTTATTTTTAATAAAAGGCATCGTGCGATTGTCACATATGCGTATCGTAATACATCCATCTGCTTTTTCCTGCCCTCAATTGTTGTGGTGCTGTAACCTTGTAGGTGCACTCCTCTGGTGTGTGTGCTGAAATTGTGCATCCCAATATAGAAAATGATCCGAGGATATATATTGTACTGTGTGTGTGTGTGTGTGTGTGTGTGTGTGTGTGCCTGCGTGCGTGTGTGTGTGTTGTCTTGGCCAGTTTTCCTGTTGCCAATAAAGTGCAGAGTTAATGATTAGTAGTCTTTAGCCTCGCACAGGCAATATCTTCTGCTGGCCCACATTATCATAGAGGTCAGGGGTCATACCCAGGGGGGTTATTTAAAGTAAATATATAAACTGATGTCTCCCCGTTTGGTAGTTAACACCCTCGTTTGACCAGCGCTGAGATTGCGCAGTGCACACAGTGTTGTGTAAAGTCTTAATGTGGAAAGCGGGACTGGAGTGCGCAACAATAGGCCTATTAAAGACATTCATTAGACCTGTGCTTATGAGAGAGGGACTAACTGGTGGGCAGTTGAATTAACAGGCCTTTTACATTACAAGCAGACTCACCCGAGACCCATCCGAGCTGTGTGGGGGAAATAGCTCTGCTGGCCAGAGAAAAGTTGGTTATTGGACTTCTTGATCACAAATGCTTAATATGGCCCAAATGCTACTGTACTGAATGTCGGCTGTCAACTAAGAATTTTAATTCTTAGTTGGGTAAGTGATAATCAACTTGTTTTAATTTGATAGCTCTAAAGTTAAAAGGTTAGGTCAAGAGTTCTTAAAACTGCGCTAGGCCCCAAATTTTCTTTTTTTATAGCAAATGTTTTGTTTTGTTAAGGTGGACTATTTGACTATGAAAAGCAAAAAATCAAAAACTACAATCTTAAAGCTTGAAAACTTTATTATCAGTGTTCAGCTGGAGTTTTAACTCTTTACTATTACTTTCTAATCCTTGTTGGCAAATAAAAAAAAAATTATAATAAGTTACGTGCACCCACTTCAACATTCTGCTAGCTATGGCTATCTGCAAAGAGACTGTCCAAAAAACATCTCTGACGGTTGTCTGTCATTGGCTGTCCACACTCATTTGGTGAACGTGCTCAGCATCACTGTTGTTGAGTGGGATACTGCTGGTTGGTCATTCTTCATCTTTAGTCAGTGTTGGAATCACTAGGATAAAAAAAGACTCCCTGATTGGCTGTTCTGACTTTAGTTAAATGGAGGGTATCAATTATAAAGATCATTTTAAAACATGAAATTAAGATACTTTAAAGTAAAATATACAGTAGTATAGTAGTACTGGTAGTAGTACTGTAGTACTGGCCATACTAGGGACTTTAAAATTGTTCCTTACGTGGCTCAGGACAATCTTCAATCTACATCATTGTAGATTATGTAGGTAAACAAAAAAATATTATCGGTTGATATTGGAAGCTGAAAGTGTTTGGAAAATATTGGGCATCCCTAATATATATATATATTTTAATATTTTTCATTTATAATATATGTATACATATAATATTTATACATAAATACACATGAATGTGTATGTAAATGTATACGCTATATAGAAATGTTTGTGTTTATATTTGTTATATATTTATATTACAAATATATATACAGTGACAGAAAGTGACAAATATCAGTCACATTATAACTGCATGTGTATTTCACATTTTGTTGTTTGTACTCACCCCAAGCTCAGTTTTAGTCCAAATAAATGATTTTGCTGCCTGTGTGCTCTGTTGATACTGCTTAGGTCGACATTCTTTAAGTTGAATTCTGAATAGGTATGTGCTCTATAATGAACCTTGTGTGTTTGGAGGCATGAAGGTGATTGTACAGTACACTCTAATGTATTAGCATGGGATGGCTCATTATAGCGAGGCATAACAATTCGCACATTAATTTTCCAGCATCCAGTTTTTAATTAATCCAGTAGGCAGTCTTAAACACAGGGTACACAAATTGCCTTCGGCCTCATAATTAATTCTAATGGAAGAAATTAAAAATTGGTGGGGTGTGTTTGGATTGTTCGACTGTGTTACTATGGATTCGAGTCGCTGGAGCGGTGCTGTCACCTACAAGGATCTCTTACTGGTCCGACCAATCTCTGTTTAGTGGGATGAGAGGAGGGGGGCGTTACACCCTCAACCCCATGCAATGTCTGTAAAAGATTAAAAGAAATTGAATGTGTGTAAGTGTTTGATAAAGCATACGCTTATTTTACTGTCGCCTGAATTTAAACGATTGCTTTTTATGTTCTACGGTCTGTATGTGTGTGTGTGTGTGTGTGTGTGTGTGTGTGTGTGTTTGCGTTTGTATTGATCTGCTCTTTGCTGGGGTTGATCTGTTGGTGGGGTTGGTTGTATATAGAACAGTCACTCCAACCATGTATCAACAGTTATTACTTCCACCAGTCTCATGGGTTGAAATGGTTTATGGTTCCATTCCACTGTGTTTGTTGCTATTGGAATACAGCCAACTGTGTTGGGTATCAACATTGTTGAGTCACAGGTGTAGCATCTCTGGGTCATTTCAGTAGAACTGATGCTGCGTCCCTCTCCTTTAATCACCTCTGAGTTTTCGCAACATCTACCATTTGTCTCTTTTACATATTCATTTTTGAAAAACCTAAAAATGTTCTGCTTTCATTCTCACCGTAGGCCCCTACACATTCTGGTGTGTAACGCAGCAGTGTGCACAATACCCTGGTGCCTGACAGAGGACAGCCTGGAGTCCACTTTCCAGATCTGCCACCTCGGTCACTTTCTTCTTGTGCAATGCCTTGAAGATGTGCTGCGGCGTTCAGCCCCTTCTCGTGTGGTTGTTGTGTCCTCAGAGTCTCACAGGTAATGTATGTCCCACTGGCTCCCTCTTTAATTTTAAGCTAAATGTGTACATAATATTACACTTAAACCAAAGTTGAACCAAACATACTCCAGCTCTCTGCTTACCTTCACTTTGACAGAATAAAAGTGGTCCTCAGCTTATAGAGTTCTGTTCCTATGTTGAAACGTATCCTGAATTTTCATTGTACATCAGAACTCATGCACTGTAAATGGGTACCATTGTCACTCACATACGCTAACACAGTGGCGTCAATCATAATCATAATCACATCATAATCTAGGACTGAAGGGGAAAGATTTCCCCCCAAAAAACAAACAAAGAAATGTAGCACAATTCAATAGGTGGCGTACAGTCTGGGAATGTATGCAAAGCCGTCTTCCGTGTATAGTGCTCCGTGATAAAACAGGTATTGAGTATGCAGTGAATTCTGAATTAAAAGTCAGTGTGAACACAAAAGTGTATTTTCTTCACTTAAACTACTTTGGGACTGAATGCTGTATCAACTACCGTATCTTCTGGACTATAAGTCACACCTTAGTGTACAAGGCGCAAACCTAGCCAAAGGATGAAAAAAAGTCTGACTTATAGTCCGGGAAATACAGTACTAGGGGAGTCAGTTCAGGGTGGAGTGTGAAAATGGCAGTTGTTGAAACCCAAACAACTGCGGCTGAGTTAGTGCACATATGGGTTAATAATGTTCCAACCACACTGGCAGAGTTAAAGCACTCAAACTACCTTGTCCAATCAAACAACTGTTTAATTTCCCTCACGTTGTTATATCTGCTACATTGGCTACTTTTTTTTACTACAAAGTGATAGAGCAGACTTAATGTGTATTGTCAAATGTGACAGCCTCACTCACTGGAAACTCATTTCACTCTGCACGCTGTCACTATAAATTAAACGTATCATCAACATGATGGATGGCCTTATCAGCTAAAATTTACTTTGATCAAGTATCTGCTCTTTTCTGTGTGACCCTCTGACTCAGCCCCTTTTCCCTTTCTTCTCTTTTGTTTCTCCACTCTGTTTCTGCTAAAATGACTCCGCTCCGTACACTTCTCTTTTGCCTGTCATACAGTAGACAAGCACAGTGTCTTTCAGTGATCTGTAGGTCCAGGCCGTGAGCCATGTGATTGAGAGTTCCTGTGTGTGCACGTGTGTGAATGAGAGAGAAAAAAAGAAAAGAAAAGAAAGACATTGATCCTGGTTACATTCAATCAGTCAGCCAAGCAGAGTGATTGATTGGAGCTCTGCAGAGTGACCTAAAACAAGGAGAACATACGCAGAGTTATTCTAGCAGATCCAACAGCAGCGCTATTACAGAGGCTTAATATGAGTTATGTTATATAGACTGCCATGCATGAGAGGAGAAGTGAGCGGCGGAGGAGATGGTTTGACACCTAGATTCACTTGGGGTCACACAGGCTATTACAGCATGTAGGAAAAGTCAGGGGAAATAGAAGTAAGAAAAGCTTATTGAAAGGAAGCATGCTATGATGGGAGTATTGACAGAATTTGATTGATGCACGACTTGCCTTCACAGTAAGAACAGTGAATTCACACACATTTCGACGGTGTAACAGTAAAAAGTGTTCACCGTTTACAGCCTCCAAACGTCTGGTGTCCTCTGCGGTCTCCGTCGATCTCTCTCTCCTTTTACCCATTCTCAACTGTGCACTCACCTTTCTTCCTCTCTTCTGCCATTAGTGGTGGCTTAAATCCTTTCAACAGAGCTTAGTCCAGACCTGAGAGAGTCAGTTACACACTGACACGGACTAGACTCAGATGAAGACGTGCAAATGCATTATATCTAATATTACATCTTCCAGTCTGTCCACCTCATTTTAGACTTATATTGCATCGTTTGAAGATACCACACTTGTGTTATTTTCCCGTTTACTACTGATTTTTTTAGAAACAGTATTTACTTAGCCTTCCCTGAAAAGCTTACATGAACTCTGACCTTGCGGTATATAATATTTCTTAAGCCCATTCTTTACTGCTCAAATAATGACCTGTAAGGGACAAAGATGGGAGAGATGGACCCATGTTTAGGGGGGAATTCATTTTATCAGTTTTTTCCCCCAAGGGGGGGGAATTCATTTTATCAGTTTTTTCCACCCAAGGGGTTACTGTATGTTGGAATCTGTTCACGGCAGGTGTTTTATTACTGCAGATTCAGTCAAACAAGGTAACTTCATTTTTCAAAATAATAATAATGATAAAAAAATCCTCTACCCATCTTTGCTGGCAAGACCTTTTAAAAGCTTTTAGTTTTAAAAACCAAATATTTATATTATTATTTTGCAAATTTAAGCTGAAGCCTGACAATGAATTTAGTTGAAATGTCATTCACAGCCAGTTGAGCATAATTAGAGGAAATTAGTGTAAAGAAAAGTCAATTACTTTGTTCCTTTTGAATTGGATTTGTTACAGGGTTTCAGCACGTGAAATGTAAACCCTGCAGATGTTGTAATGTGAGGGTGTTGCGGAAGGTGACGGTAAACAAGAGGTGGTGTTCTTGTAAAGTCACAACAGGGAAACCAGGTGACATTTTGTTGGTTGTTCCCTAACGACTGAATTAATATGTAGGCCGTGGTCTGCCAGTTTTGAGACTGTTGTTATCCCTCACTGTCACACTCGCGCACATAAACACTGGTGTGTGCTTGATGTTTTCATGTGCATGTATTGTGGTAGTATTTTGTGAAGGCACAATAACACAGGAACGAGTGTACAGTTTAAGGGCCCTTGACAAACATCTGGAGTTAAACAGCTCTGTCGCAGGCAATTAAAGAACCTTGTGTCATGTCTTTGATTTGTATGGAGCCACCAACACACATTGAGGCATGAATATATACACACACACACACACACACACACACACACACACATTGATTGACGGAGTGTTAAAAGGATGATACCCTCCCTTCCATAGACTGTGAAATTGTATTTATTCCTGCACAGTCTATATGTGTAGAAATAAACAAGATGTATGTTGAAGATGTCGAAAAACCTAGGGCTGAAATCTCCCAGTTTTCTTTTTGTGGTTGACTTTCTTTCAAAACTTCAGGACTTCAGTCGACCAACACTTTCTTTGGTTGGTTACAGCCCTACAAAATACTGTCACCCTATAAAGAGAAGTTAAAGTTGTATAGTAAGACAAATGTAATTTGACAAAAGTGGACTAATGTATAAAAACTGTGTTCATCCTTAAATGGTTACAATCTGGGTTTTTTTATACATACACTTTAAAAAAATGTATATGTGAACAAAAGCCAACCAACTTTAATTGTGTTTCTGGCCTAAGCATGGGGGGATTCTGAAAAAAAGTTTAGTATTTTTATTAGAACAGCAAACTGATAACCATCTGGAGAAAACAATCCATCTGTGGCCTGGCAGCTGTCGTCAGTCTTTGCTGTTTTCTGAACGTTACTGATTCTGATGTGGACTGTATTACAGGTTTACTGACCTCTTGGACTTGTATGGAAAGGTGGACCTGGCCTTGCTGTCACCGCCAAAGAGGGAATACTGGTCCATGCTAGCCTACAATCGGGCCAAACTTTGCAACATTCTCTTCAGCAATGAGCTCCACCGACGCCTTTCCCCCTACGGTGTCACCTCCAATGCAGTGCATCCAGGAAACATGATGTACACCTCAATACATCGGAACTGGTGGCTGATGTCCTTCCTCTTCATGCTGGTCAGACCCTTCACCAAGTCCATGGTAAGAAAAACATGTTGATAATGGCCCAGTCCTGCTTGTTAAGTCTGCAAAGGTTTTTAAAACACACTGTAGTTTGACGGTTACAATTATTTATTAGCTTCTCCTCATCATTTATCAATTTAGTGTTAGCACTGAAGGGAAAATGTGATGTGTTGATAGGGAGCGTGGTCGAGTTTTAGTGAAGCGATGTTCTGATCCATCATGTTTGACAGACACAAAGCCTCAGGCTGTCATTTGTCGTTTTCTCTGACATAGGATGAGGGATGAGAGAAACTGCTCTTCAGCATCTCTTATAAAATGCTAAGATCAAGAATTCTTAAATCTGATCATTTTTTTCTTTCAGATGTCATCTTTATTATTATATTACCATTGCAAGAATTAATCTACCCTTTTCATTCCCACCCTACTTTAGTGTAATTTAACCAGGACTTTAGGCTTTTGAACTGGGAAGAGCACTCTTAAACAAAGTTTGTGGTTTGCGTAAACATACAAAATTAGCAGCGGCAAGTTTTTCCGCTCTGGTACGGGGCAGAGGCATTTCTGTTCCTGGTTAATTAAATGTAGCATAAATGTTAGTAAACATTAAAGTACAAAGGTAGAGCTAGTAATTAAATTCTGGTGTGCTGACACAGCTATTAGCTAAAATTCATGTCTGATAAAGGGCCACACACAGACACACACACACACACACACAGATACACAGACACACCCTTAAGCTAAAGCATTTGCTCTTATTTAAATCTGGGTATGATAAGGCCCTTAAAAGTGTATCCTCTTTAAAATCCCACTCCTCACTCCTTCTGCCCCCACATTAAGGGCTTAATAAAACAGTGATATTATTTCAGTTATTGGTTGCAGGGATATGAAGATGGTATCGCTTTAATTGCTTGCGTATGCTTGCGGGATCCGTGGAGATTGTTCTGGGATGCAAACATAAGCAGAATGTCGACTCCAAAAAACAATCACATAGCTCCCGTGTGTGTTATTGAGCAAATAACCATCCTCTCATTTAAAGCACAGGCTTGATTTATAGGAGCACAGGTGGAGTGATATAGACTTGGCCTACATAAGTAAATACACTCACATGAATACATAACGGAGCGAGTGCTGTAACAATGTCAACCATTCCGGACTCCTTAATCAGGAAATCCTATTTTGTGTTAGCTGGAGGGAAATATCATATATGGTGGACCACTCTTTAACCATGCTTTTATTTTAATTGTTATTATAATTTATATATATATTTTAGGAGAGGTATGTCACTTTGTAATATTTTAGTAGTAGTGACTGTAATTAATTTGCTCATAGCATTGTTGTATTATTTTTTGTTTCCTGGGTGACTTTTGCTGTAGTATCAATCATTTTGGTTTGCTCTTGTGTTTGTCAATGACTTGGTGATTAATTTGCTCATAGCATTGTTGTATTGTTAATATTTTTTGTTTCAATTTAATTTATTAAAGTTAGAGTAAATGTTTCCTGAACTTGGAAGCTGAGTGGGGATAGATCATTAAGAAGTGACTTGAATAGTCAAAAACGTTGACATACTGGGGATACTTACCTAGTTGACATTCATCTGCAGCAGTTATCATCTGGCAGCCCACGGGCCACATTCTTCCTGCAGAACCTTCCAATCCAATCCATGAGGATAATAATGTTAGACAAAAATGTGATTTTTATTTTATTTGTGTATATAAATGTCCGGCCCCCAAGGTGTCTGTCCAGAAGAAAAATCTCTCCCTGGAACAAATATATCCTGACCATCTACAGGATGGGTTGACACTGTCCTGATATTTACAGCATCAAGTTTCTTTTCAACCCCTTGTACAGATGATAGATAAAGTTCATTTTAAACAATTGATTTTTATCAATTATTTTAATTTCCATTTTTAAAATTCAGCATTTCATTTGTAAATAAAAACACTTTTTAATTTTTTCATAAAAAAAAACCCAACTTTTTCTAGTTTCTTTATGATGGAGATTTTTACTTAATAGATAAAAACTTCTTTATTGGTTAAACATCCCCCTCTACCATAGATGTAAAAAGCCGATTCCTTTTTGCTGAGTTGAAAAATGCATCTATAAAGACCATTGACATTTTAATCAGCCAAACTATCTCTTCTAACATCATGTTCCCATTCCAGAGCCTTGATCTACTTATCAGCGGTTACAGTCCCAGGCCTGCGACTCCTGTTTCTTTAATTTAGCGTATTTAGAGTGGGAGTTTTTCCCTGTGTCCTTTGCTACGTTTATCGGCGTTGAATGATCTGGTGTGTGTGTGAGTGTGAAATAAAGAAAAAGGGGAGAAAAGGCAAAAGACCACTGTTATCACAGCTTTGCAATTTAGTCGCAGTTATTTAATGTAGAGAATCCCATTGACAGTGATTTTTTTTTATTTTACATTAGAGATTTTTTACATTTCCAAACACTTACATTTACATTACATTTACATTTACACATTACATTGTATTATTATATTTACAGTAAAAATTGGGAAATGCTTATAATTCTCTCAAATATATAATTCATCAAAAATAATGATAATAATTATCAGTGCCCCTCATTAGCATGGTGTCTCCTGTGAAGTTTTCACCCCTTCTACCATATTGTAATGTGAACCCAGTGACATTTTGTGTACTTACTGATCGCTCTCTTAAGATCGGTGCAGCCTCAGGCTCCAAACAGCTGGGCTCAGCCCATGTTTATCATCATCTTTACCTTAACTATAAGCCAGATTGTGTATAGCTGCTTGAAGATCAGCATAAGGAGGGCCTCAATACCTCCTCCTTCTTTGTAATGAATTAAATTTAGGAGGGTAGACACCCCCCCCCCATTCCCCTCCCCCACTACTCCACTCCACCTCAGTAAATAAATACATAATAAATAAATAAATGTACATCAGCGTTCCTGCCTCGTTCCACGCTCCTTAGTGTTGCAGCATGATTATTTTTCCATGGATCCTGCCTCGGGCACCAGGCCACCTTTTTACATATGCACATGCTGAACTTTTGACCAGGCGCCACCGGTCCGTGCTGGATGAGAGGAACCGTTGTTCATTCAGGAGGAGTGGGACTGCCAGCACCTTCTCTGCTCTGACCAGGAGCTCTCTCCTGGCAGTTAACCCTAGAGGCACACCCTGGGATGAACACATTAACATTAGGATATAACAGATGGGGGTGCTGTTATAGGTGAACCCAGCAGTCAGGTTACTTCAAGAACAAATACTCTGCTAGCAGGCACAGTGCTACTAAGTCACAGGACACACTCAGGCAACAGGTGTGTGTGTGTGTGTGTGTGTGTTCAAGTGGTTTGAATGTGGTGCTCAAACCAGATAACCTACCCATTTCTTGTGGTTTAGATGAGCTGTCCTGATCCAACATTAAGTTGTGTGTGGAATCACATGGGGTTCACTTGAACTATCTATCTAGCCCAAATTCACAAATCACATTAGTCTCAAAGGACTTTACAGTTTTTAAATTAGAATTAAAATCAAATTTATATTGTCCTTCCATCTAACAGGGGAAACATTGAGGGATGTGTGTAGAGTAAATGTTACTACTTAGTTGTAAAACAGGATAAAAACCACACACTGAGCAGCATTTTGGCAACAGTGGGGAGAAAAACAAAACCTCCCTTTTAACAGGAAGTATTGTCCAGCAGATCCAGGATCAGTGTTGCCATCTGCCTCGGCATCGGGAGAAACGGAAAAAAGGGGGAGATGGCTGAGGGGGAATGAAGAGGGAAGGAAAGAAAGAGAGAACGGGAGTAGACATACAGCACTGTAATATGTGGAGTAGCAAACAGTACAAGTGTAGGAAGAACATCATTACTGGTGTTAGATATTAATGTAGTCAGGTCCTGTAGTTGTTTTTACATACACACAAGTACAAACACATGTAGTGCAGAATGGTCCAGGCCCTGTTTATCTGGTCCATCGCACAGGGAGACTGTAAATAGTTTATTGTGGATGACATGATCTGATGGAGAGCATGTCAGGATCAATAAAGAACCAATCAACTGCTGTCAGTCCGCTACTGCATGCAGCCAGTCATTCAACCCTGACGTAAAGTTATACAACCTGCGTGTGTGACAAAACAATATGCTTGAGTTGACCAAAGAGTCAGACCTGAGCTATTGCTTGGTCCTGGGGTAAGTTAGACAAGACCAAGGGTCAGCTCGACCATCACAGCCTGGTGATTCTCTCTAATAAGAGAGATGACATGAGACCAATGTGTCATAAACTGACCAGTCCACAGAGACACGTTCTTTCTGACTCTCACTTCGACATTGTCTCACTCAGTGTTCACCCTCTTGGTTTAATAACTTTTACTGCTTTTACTCCTGTTGTTAAGATGTTGTAAATACATTTATTCAGTACAATGTATTCCTTATATAAAGTTTCCATATCAATTTATACTATTATTGAATCTTTATGTTATGCTGTACTAAATGGAAAAGTACTAAAGAAAGGGGTACATGCTAATAATTCACAGGATGGTATGGATAGTACTGACTGGTACTGACTGTTACACTTGGAGACAGGTCACAGAACCAGTCAGAACTAGTTTCTTTGCCTAAATAAGGAGACCAGCAGATGACCAAGAGAGAAAAACATCCAAACTGCACTGATCTTACTTGATTAACTGCAGCGCATGCACATGGCTCCTATTGGTGGAGAATCTTTGTTTGAAGCAGCCTTTGCCAATCAGTGCTCAGAAGTGGTGTGTGAACACCACATGGCTGTAAAGGGTCAAGGGGGGATGACCATTGATGTGTGTGTGTAAAAAACTGTATCTAAGCTTTAAGCACTGAGGAGTTCCTCAGTGCAGTTCTGAGGAACCATTGTCCTGCACTCCTTGCTTGCAAGTAAAACTCTAAAATCGTATTTTATTCTTTATTTAAATTATTTGTGTGTTAGAAAAATAGGGGTATGAACTAAAGGAATATTCTACAGTCCTATCTAAAAGTTTCCCGACACCTGTGATGCTTGGAGAATAGTTATGACCAATCAACACTTGTACATACACACACACACACGTAAACACACACAACCTCCCCCTTTTTGTTGTGACATAGGGCTGATGGACTATTTTTCAAATTGATTTCAAAAATGTACATAAGCAGCTGATCCCCTAGCCCAGATTACCTATTGATTTTTAATACCAAAAGCTCATTATATAAGCAGGAACTGCAACACAAAAAGCTAGCCAACCTTTGCATAAATCCTTTAATTGAATTTCAAGAGCCCGTGGTTCTACATTTTTTAATTAAATCCATTTCTTTTTTTTTTAAGGGTTGCTGTGTAATTTGCATGCTGTGAAGTGGGTGCTGTCCCAGATAAAGTGCCATTGATCCTTATTAAGGCTCACCTCTGGGCTCGCTGAAAACCAACTGCAGAAATTAAATGTGCTCATGGTGCATACACTTATTGCCCGCATGAGAGGATTAGAGGTAGCGGGTAAGAGAGAGAAGGAGTGAGATAGAGATGGAGAAAGAAAGACCGATGGGGGTGAGAGGTGCAGAGAGAAACGGGAAGGATTATTATTAATAGTTGTTTATATTAATGTAATATTTCACCTTTTCCCCTTTGGATCGAAACCACCAAGTGCATGTGTCTACATGCAGCCTTAGCCGACTGTTTTTAAGGTGTCCAGTCAGACATACTGGTGTTGGTCTTTGTCACTCTTATTTAATCACCTTAAAAAAAAAGTGATTTTTTTTTTAATAAATTGCCTGGCTGACATCTTTCATTGATCCTATGCAGATCGTTTTCAGCGATCTCTCTAAGTGAGAGTACTTTCAAATGCTTACTTGGAGATTGAATGATATTTAATTTTCTTGTACTAATTTGGCTAAATCGGGTAACTGTGTGTGTGCACGCGTTCACGTGACGGTAGCTGTGTTTTTGTGTGAGCAGGGGCTTTTATCATGGCTCCATGTCAGCTGGTAAATCAGGGCCTCTCCTTCCTTGTCTTCCTGTGTGGTTATATGCAGACGGTGGAGTAAATCAATAGGGATTAACCTGTGACCCGAACCACATACTTATAGCCTAGTCCTCATTGCTCACACATCGCTCATCAGTTTCACTTAAACACTGCATCTCACTCAATAAGGCACCAACACATTGATTCACTACAAAGATGAAGAGGCCTATATCACAGACAAACGTATAAAGACACA